ACCCCCCCGGGGGGGGGGGGGGGGGGGGGGGCACTTGGGTATTTTTTGGATGGGTACGGCTGCCCGAGACTCCAAATTGGCACCCCGTTCTAAAAACAATTTCCCCTAAAATTGATACCCCGTTCTAGAAATGGGCCGATTTTTTAATACCCCGTTCTAGAATTCGCCCTAAAACTGATACCCCGTTCTAGAAATGGGCCAATTTTTTATACTGCGTTCTAGAAAGTTTGTAAATTGAAATAGCCCTGTTTTTTAAAAAGATATTTCTTTATTTGTTCTACTTACATCAAATAAATGTTTCTTCATAATCAGCAACAATCTTAGGCAGAAGGAGGAGCCCGGCAGAAGATAAAGCCTCGATCCACAATTTTTTAAACCCCGTTCTAGAAAACGCCTCTGAAATGTATAGGTAATGTATGCGAGTACCCCCCCGGGGAGCCTGCTTACCATTCGGCGTTCTGCATTTGGCGTTCCACATCTTGAAGCTTCAAATCAGCAAACAGATTGGGTAAACTGAACTCTCTTTACCTTAAACAATTTGTGGCTTCCAAACATGTGTCGCTGGGGCTGCTCTGAAAAAAGTAAGGTATGTCAGGTTATTATGCCTTTGAATGATTGAGAACCAAATGCATGTGAAAGCATTTTAAATGAAAAGATTTCATTGGAATGGTCACGACCGGCCGATTATAACGTGCACAAGTTAGTCGTCCACAAGTTAGTATATAGACGCACAGATCAAGCCTACAGGTACCTAAAAAACAAACTCTTGCTAGAAATCAAGAAACGTGGTATACAGCAACTCATCTAAGCGAGATTCGCTTTAAACTGGCTTCCATCTGATTACTTCGATTCAAATTTACAGATATTCAAGTGCAGGTTCTGTGGAACTAAGTATTGTCAAGCATGCGGCAGAGGAGATTTTCATGGTGTAATGACGGATAAAACAGTTTGTCAAGTTTGTTTTCAGGTATTATAGAATTGAACTGGCCTTTTTAGCGTCAAGGAGATTTCAATCGGGCTCACTAAACAAAAACACAAAGGACAAATTCTCCTTTCTAACATGGCAAAACTTTCACCCTTTAAGCCCTAAGGGTGATCAGCATCGAATTTCTCCTTGCAATATCACTACTTTGTAAAACAGAGTGTTCATGAGAATTACTGAAATGATCACACGAGATGAATCAATGGCTTTATATTTTATCAACTTCTCCCCCCTACTTCTGTAGGAAATCAACAGGGGCAACAAATGAGAATTCAAATTTTGATCCTACGGTTTAAGGGGTTAAAAAATTGGCTTCGTTAAGAGAGGATAAGGACACCCAAATTTCTGAAAGCTGTGCCCTTTGTGAAACTTGAAAGGTATTACACCCGGACAGTTTACTGAAGAGAACAAAGAAAAGTGTTTGCTTAATTCACTAAATGACAGATCGTTTACAAAGCAGGCTCGTTTCAATTCATTAGAAGAGAAATGTGGCAATCCCTGAATCACCTTGTGTAACTAGTCTCCAAATAGATCTTTTGAGTAGAATTAGTTCTTATTGTTTTTGTTTAATCCTTTAATTAGCCCAGGATCATACTTCGTAAGGTTTTATGTAAATTGGTTTGTTCCAAAGGAAACTGCTGTGCTCCATCAAGAAGATGAACCAGGGGACCTCCCTATAAAATTGACCGGCTTGGGGGTAACAGCTGCAGAGTTTGGTCTCACTTGTGCATGGTTTTCAGGGGGCAAAGCCAAGATTTTTTCCAGTGAAAGTCTCGTTAATAGTAGTGTCTCAAACAGACCTCCTCAATAGTTCGTCGTAAGTCACTGCCATGTGACAAGCCAAAAGAACGACTAAAAGGGAGGCTATTTTTAAGGATGCTAAGTTAACCAGGGTGTCGAGTAAAGGTGTGTCTTATTACTTTTTTAAATGTTGTGTCTTAATACTTAATGTCATCATTACGAGTTTCAGCCTAAATGCCAAGGAGAGAGAATTGGGCAAGACCCAGGAAAATCTGCTCAGAAGAAAAGAACAGTCAACAAGAAAACAGTCAAAGCTGAAACAATCACAAGACACGAGAAAAGGATAAATATCAACACCCTAGTTAAAAAAATCCATAGATTGTTTAAAACAGGTTTTTTTCTTACTGCAGAGGAAAATGTGAGCCGAAAACGCCCGAGCTTATCGGACGCTAGCGAATTGTAATATCGTTTTCAGATTTCAACTCATGTCAATAGCAGGTAACGGTTGGCTTTGTTGGTCAGGCGCTCAAACAAGCCAAGGTGGGCGAGGGTAGTGCAAGGAGCTTGGGGAGGGAGAAACGAGAAACTGTCCTAGGTTGGAGTGTCGAAGAGCCATCGCTCATCTCTTTGCACTTGCCACGTTATGTGCCTGATCGAGTTAAAGAGCTTTCAGTTCATGACTAGAAATTCTGTCCCCAAGTTAGCCTTAGTGCTAATTTGAAAGCTACTTAAATCATAACATAGAAAGTTCTGGGCACAAAGCACGCCCAGCACTTTTTTATCGAGGGGACGTTCGGGAACGATCGATCTACGACAATTGTCGTTTTAATGTCGGGCGCTCTCGTGCGAGTGGACTAATTACGAAAGTGTCTACATGAGTGATACATTTGCTTATCATAGTACGCTACGTGAAATCCACCATCCATGGACCTTCGACAGCCTAGCTGCTCCCTGGTGTTTAGAAAGTGGGAGCTGCCCGAGATTAGGGGTACTTGCCATTTACATGAGAAAACCAGAAATTTCGGTTGGAAAATTAAATGATTCTCGCCACTCTGTTTGGGAAGCTTCTCAAAATATGGGCTGTGATTAGAGGCGATGCAATTTTTCTACTCTTTTTATTCTGTTCAGCTGAATTGGTTATTCTTCGTAACGCATCATTCTCCCACCAAGTCAAATTTTATAGTTTTTTGTTTATGCACAATATTTCCACCCGGGTGGTTTAAGTAAATGGTGAGCATCCTTGGTCTCTTCCCTTCTTCCCACTGCGCTCTCTTCATCGCCCTATCTCTTCTATCCAAACGCCTGACACAGGCCACTGCCGGTACCCACTTCATGATAAAAAAAAAACATGACATGTCCTTGGGAAGGTTCAAGCATCGCGTTAGTTTTTAGGAGTTGGTGCACATGCTTCTCTGGATATATTGAAAAACTGAAATTTTCTGAAGGCCGCATTTATGCTTTGAATTTAAAGAAAGTACAAAATACATCATACAAAAGTTATTGCTTCCACAACGTGAAATCTTAGAACAATTTATAGTGAAATAGACTTTGCGGTGTCTGAAGTGGCACTTGCACTGATTCGAGAAAAGATTAGCGCGGGAGGCGTAAAAGCAGCTCAGATATTACCGTGCTTCGGTCTAAAGGCGCGATCTCCTTACTTTGTGATTCGTGATTCTTTAGGAAAGTAATCAAACTTGAAGCTCTTTTCTTAGGAATACCTCAATTTAGAAAGTGACTGAAATAATAGTAAATGTCAAAAAATGCATTATATCTGGCTCGTTTCATTCGTTTTAAGATTAAGTCTCTACCCGGACTCTTAACTAGGCCAAGAAAAAACAATATATTGAAAGTGTTAGCCAATTTTAATCAACTAGAGCTCATTTTCTGTAACAATGGATGTTAGATACGTGATTCTTCCCTTGAGTTAAAATAGCCTCCTTATTTGACTGGAATCACTCTCCTCTTTAACACTGACCCGAACTTATGAATGGCTAATTGACGGATTAACTTGACTTATTTTGACACTTATTTAATGTATAAATTGATAAACTATGCGACACCTTTACTAGATAATTTTAAAAAATTCTCACTAACTAGGTAGAGGGACGTGACTCTTTAACCTAACTACTTTTACTATAACCTTTATTGCTTGATGTACCTAAATAGAAGCAGTGGTCTATAAAATATATATATAATTAGGATGGTAAGAAAAATACGCTAGTAAATTACGTCTAATATAAAAATACTTACATTGTATAATAAGGAATTGGTTTTCCCCCGCGACGGGGCGGATGAGAGGCTGTTGTATTTACACAAACAATACCCTTAAGCATTGATTCCATTAACTAAAATTCCAAAAAAAAGAATTACTCGAACGGGTGAAAATATTCACAGATTGAGACAGGAACGATTCTTACCAACAAATTCGATTGAAAATGTGTTTTGACTCATGATGTTCTGTGGTCAGGAACATCTTGAGGTGATCTTTTAAGAAAAAATTTTACTCATGAATAAAACTGACACTGAATTATTTCAGAGACTTAAGGCAAGTGATATCTGAAACAGAAGCTGTTCTTAACACCTAAATACTAATGAAAATGTCAGAAAAAAACTCTGACTCGTCTACTTGCAGACGGTAAGACTAAGTGTTTAGACACGCCGCAAACGGAGTAACAATCATTAGCAACAGTTATTCACTCGAAGACACAGAAACAAGCTAATCACAAGTACGCGCATTTTGCTACGTCTTACACTACAACACGCTCTAATGGTGGAGTATTTACAGGGGACTGCCGGCAATTAAGGTGGTGGTCCTAAAAACCAAGTTTTATTAAGAACACTACAGTAACCAAAATACTTAGTCTATTTATATGGCTTTTTGTACCGTTGTAATAACATTGACGAATTATAAAACTGTACATATGAATAATAGACATCTTGTTTCTTGTTAGCATCTTTCTGAATAAGTTGCCACAATAAAGGTTCAGCCACTTGTTCAACTCAAGTGTCTTCAATTTGATATCGTGAGTTAGCAACTCTTGAATCGCAGTATAATCAGACATCTTTACGTACTATCTGTGGAATAAGGCTAACATAGTGAAGCTCGTGCACGTGACCCAGCACGAGCCGGTTGCTACCAGTAACATCAAACTCTGGGCAGATCATTACGTCATGGCGATGCGGAAGACTGCTGATCACGTGGATGCACGTTTGAAAACAGTTTGCCACGCCGTGTAGAATCACGTGATCACCCCACGTACCATCTGCCAACATGCTTGTGAGGTAGGCACCCCAAGATGGATATCCATCAACAAAATGAAACAGTTCTGTCCCATCCGGCTGTAAAAAAAAGAAAGAAAATACTGTAGTTTATAGAGAAAGAGGTGGAATGCTTTTGTAGAGGGTATATATTCAGGCAGTTGGCTGTCAGCTCTCTCTAAGGCGGACCCCGCTGGTATCGGCACCAGAGCAGATATGTCCACTTTAGTAGTGAACCGGAACCAGGCCAAAAGGGTGTCTGCAATGGACAATGAAATAAACTATGATAGCATTCACACCAAATAAGAACATGATCCCTGCAAGTTACATCATCAATGTAAGAATAACTGGTTATACTAGACACTACATAAAAATAGTTCCTATAGCTCGTGACGTTATCTTGATGAGATTCTACCGCCTTTTTATTCATGAGATAAAGAAGTCACCTACATTTATTTGTTGCGTCATACTAATGAGATTTCACTTCAAAAACGAGGTCTAACTTGTGTATCCTATACTAGTCGCCTTTTAAAAAGTCCAATAAAAACAATTAAGAACGGTAGGGACCAACACTTTAAGGAAATTACTTGAGGACGTTTTAGGGAGGTGTCCGTTACAAGTGTAAGAGAGAGGGGAAGAGGTGTTTACTGTGAAATAATGAAAGTTTGGAAATACGTTGGGTCAGAAATGACCCTACATATATAACCAGTATTGAGGACCTCAAGTTTATCAGTTGATATTGTAACTATCAAGTTTTACCCTCTTTAAATAAAGTATTCACTTCACTTCACTTCACTATATAAACATATGCCGTTCGGACAAAGCAGCTTTCGGTGAAGATTTCATACTTACCAACATAACGTAATTATAAGAAATTAGGACATAAGTCAGACGATCGAGACGACAGAAACAGATTTCCTAAAATCCGTGTCCATTTACACTTCCGAGTCAAAAATGCGATAAAGGAAACGAATTTGAGTTCTTTTAAATTTTTATGGCGCTTATGTAGCGTTTTTCAAATTAAAAAAGGTAGGATTTGAATTCTAAGGACAGCATCCGGAGCCAATAACAATAATTCGTCGCGTTCGTTCAAGGTCCTCCACAAAACGTCGCATTACGAGAGGAAGTTTCATATCACAAAACTTTATTAATGTGTCTTGGAATATATAGCCGATGGGGTTAAGAACCCCTCTACTAATTGGGGACACAATTAGTATCCTACCAACTATTTTCTAATGAACTATTAAAAAAAAAAAAAACCTAACAATATAATATAGTTAAAAACCTAGTAACTATCAACTAATGAAATAAATGATTTAAAAAGATTAAGAATTACAAAGGATGCAATTAGAACAATTGTCGTCGTCTATCATTACACCTAGATCAAATTTACGAATACAATTTTTGAAACTAAATAATGATGGGAGAGTTCTGATTCGCTTGGTAGCTTATTCCACAACTTTGGTCCCAGGTAGGTGAGCGAGTGTTTACCATATTTATTGGTCCTAAATCTGGGAATGGCGAACTCTGCCGTCCTCAAGTTGTAGGGTGAGCAATGCGCGTGAAATAGCTCGGATATTTTGATGGGGCATAGTTTGTGTTTCACCTTATACATAAGGATAGCAATATCTTGCAGTCTTCTGTTCTGAAGAGTCGTTAGGTCACTTTTGTCCAGCAATGCTCGGTAGCTTGATTGCTTATCTAGGAAAACTGCGCGTAGTGCTCTTTCTTGGACCCGTTCAAGCTTTCTTTTGTCGGTAGCACTACAGAAATGCCAAGTCAGGTGGCAATAGGTTAAGTAAGGCAATATTGCTGATTTATACAGAGTTAATTTAGCACTGGTAGGGACAAGTTTTTTGAGCCTTAACATTACACCTACCCTATTACTCACCTTCTTACATATTTCATTAATGTGAGTGTTAAAATTCAACTGTTCATCTATGGTGACCCCTAGCAACTTAAGACAGTCAGAAGATTCGATGGTGTTTCCATGAAAGTGTAATGGTAGTCGTGCAGTGCACGACGAAGTAAAGTACAAACAAGCGTGATGGTCACGCAGAGCTGTTGTTTTGCTCATAAAGGATGGATTCATTTGCAGCATACCCGTAAAGCCGTCACATTTAATCGCAGGAATTTAAGGCCCCGTCCACACTTTAGCCTTCCGTCCACACGAAAACGGCCTTTTCGGGCACCAAAAATACAGGTCCCCAGAAAGCGGTCCCCAGAGTGGACTTTTGAAAACGTCGACTTTTCGTTTACGTGTGGACGGACGAAAACAGAGGCTTTCTAATACGACGATGTCATACATTATATGCTAGTGCAAATGCGTTTGTTCTGTGAGGGATGCTACCGTATTTCAATCATTTCAGCGTTTTTATGCAGACGGGCGAAAAAAAATTCAAATACGCTACGTGTGGACAGGGCCTTATTACTTATAACCTTAAAAGCAATGAACAAAATTCAGCGGGCAAATGCGACGGCTTACGGATCGCAAATGAATCCATCCAAGCAAAAATAATAAGGTATTTACCAGCCTGGGGTTTTCCCGAAGGTGTTGAACAATAGTTCGACGTAACTCATCATGGGACATTTGAATTCCTTTGATGAGGTCAAGCTGCTCTGAAAGTGCAAAAAACATGCAGTTCCCCTCCCCCTGATTGTCAGAAATCACAAAACCTTTCTTCAACGCAGTCGTCTTTAAAGCCTGCGACAGCTCAGTTTTGCTGGACTCTATGCGTGCTTCCAACAGGATTTGTTGAAGTGCAAGGAAAATGGGTTCACCTGTAAGCGAAAGATGAAAAAGACAAAATAAGATACATGAAGAGGACATTTCAAGCCAGTTTAATAGGAAATAGTGATAATGATAATGATAAACAATTTGTATAGTGCTAGAACTATAAAATATTCAAAAGCGCTTAACATAAGTTGCAATTAAAAAAAATCCTGAAAAGCTAATAATAACAATAATAATAACAAAAAAAATTCCATGCTATGCGAAAATCTAAAAAATAAAAGTCTAAAATTCAATACAAAATTAAAATGAAAATATTCAAAGCATTAAACTTCAGAGTCATTCTAGTAAGTTAGTAACCTTCACTCTACTGCAAAAATATATTTTGGCTTTGGTTTAATTGGCAAAGCAAACAATGACATCACCTGCTATCGGTCCTGTTGTAGCATCTTTCTCAAAGTCATTCTTTAGAACGTCACCTTCTCGGTTTTTTTCAACACCTGCAAAAGTTTAAAATTAGCAGTAAATTTAAATGGTTTGGTCTGTAAGCGGGAGAGGGAAACATTATTTTACGTAAGTTTACTTGGAGATGCTACACTAAGCATTGAAAAGCTAAAAGCACCCGAAAAAACGGAAGTACCGTGGTTTAACAGAAGAAAATAACCTCAGTCTACTGGTTTAATTGACAAAACAAACAATGAAATTACCTGCTATCGCTCCTGTTGCAGCATCTTTTTCACAGTCGTTCTGTGGAACGTCATCTTCTCTGTTTTTTTCAAGACCTGTAAAGTTTAAAAAATTGATGATTTACAGAAAACTATGTCACTCTTAAAAAAAAATGAACGATTCCAACCTTCATTTTTTGTGACAACCCAGCATTGCTACTGGATATGAATAGAAATCAGATACCTTTGATGTATCGCAATCTTATGGATTTAAAATTTCAATTTATCGTTAACTCTTTCAATTGTAGCCCATATGTTATAAAATTATACATGAAAGTTTTAAAAAATGGAACTGATCAGCCGGTAAAAAAAGATCTTGATTGTTAAACAAATTCTCCTCATCAGTAACACAAGAAATGTATGAAGAACAGTGTGGAGAAAGTGAATGCCAACATTAAGGATAAAAGGTTAACAAAAATATTTCTGCAGGGATGCACATGGACCACGAAACATAATATAGTAAAAATGTATTTATGCAACCGCTGTTGCAGAAGCGATGGACATACAGAGATGAATTATGAAAACCAAGTGGAGGATAATACTGAAAAGGTACGCATTTGAAAATCATCAGGTACTAATTATTATTATTATCATTACTTTTCTATCGGTAAATTTGATTTCTTACCATAGACCATCTTCCACATCCTGTCAACAAGAGACTGGCACTGTTTCTCCCAAGAGAATCTTTCATCATAACTTCTTCGCAGTCTTTGGATTTCCTCAAGCCGCTGCGCCCTTGATTTTTGACGGATGGCTGCAATTGCCTTTGCCCATTCCTTGGGGTCATCAGAGTCGATCACAAATGATTCACCCATTGGAAGACCACGCAATGCTTTTCCAAATCCAGAGTTTCCACTAACTAGAATGGGAAGATCAGCTGACATGGCCTCCAATGCTGTCAAACCAAACCCCTCAGTTCTTGATGGCATAATGGCCAGGTCGACTTCACAAAACAATTCTCTCAATCTTTGTTTGTCTTTCACAAATGATCTCACAATCAGCTGGTTCTTTGAAATGGCAGTCTGGAGTAAGATTTCTGCGACGTCATCCTGCCTTCCATCGGATGCACCAACGAAAACAAGACTATAGGAACTGTCCTTCAATTCAACTATGGATTGAGCGGCAATGTCGTATCCTTTAAGACTAAAGTCTTCAAAATCACCGCGACCGAAGGTTAACACTTTGAAATTCATATTCTCTTGTTCAGAATGCTCAACATCTGAAAACTCTCTAAAGGAACCTGGTATTAATTGAAAGATTTCTCGACGAGATGAACGCAACTGCGACGAGATCGCGTGTTTCAATTTGGGTCCAACGGCTACAACGAGATCTGCAATTTGACAAAGTTCAACCTCAGCTCTGTTCTTCCCTTCTCCCTTGGCAATGGCGCTTGGATAGTTCTTATGCATTGCCAGCTCTTCAGGCTCAGTGTGAACAACCTGCACCCACTTACAGCAATGAGACTTTCTTATAATCTGTGCTTGTCTACCAAGCTTTGCTCCATGGCCGATCACAACCTGAACGTCAAGGTCTTCTGGGGGAACGATCAACCAGTCAAGAGGATCACTGTAGGCAGGAAGGCGCCCTGCTTCCCGGATGGAAATGTTGTGACTTTTGGCAGCTCTCTTATGCTCTTCGCCACACTCAAATTCAGGTACAAGAATGGTGACTTCTACGTGTGGGTCTTTTGCCAAATGTATGGCAAGAGTCCTGTTTATTGTTGACAAGCCACCCTTGGACGACCCCCACTCATTCGCTAAAAGGGTAACTTTCAGTACCAGACGCTCTGGACGAGCCTGAGCGGTATCAGGTGATGATGATGGAGTACACGCTTCCTGCGTAGCAACCAAAATTGGATACTTTAAAATAAAAATTTCATATCTGGGGGCTTCTACCTTTTTAAATGAAAGTTTGCAAAACATTTTATCAACGAGGTAGATGCTACAAACTTATTGCTCAACCGCAAAGCAAAACAGCACATTTACAAAGACCTTGAAAAAAAGTTATATACCAACTGCGATGCCTACACGCCAATAAGAATTATTAATACATGGTAGCCAATTGACCTTATCAACTTACTTGATTTTAAGTACCAATGTTCGCTAAGTTGATAGCAACAAAGCCTTCTCTAACACTCCAGTGGAGTTTGTGGTAAGATAAATAAAGGCATACGTTAAACCTCATACTATAACCTTAACAAAGCACATCCATGGACTTTGTTGAAGCCTCTTTCGTTTAAATATATGGCTACAGTCACTGTGGCTACTCTTTATAAAGACACAATTTGAGGTAGTATATGTAATCGATTGATATGTAATATGTTAACAGCACTGCTAGAGATTGCATTTCACTGCTACCTACCTTACTTTCTATTTGTGAGAACCACTGTTCTTGTCCCGTAACCGTGAGTACCTCCTCTGCAGGTTTCTTCTTGCAAATCAGGGGAACGCCTTGTCGTAACTCAAGGAGGTGAAGACAATCTTCATGAGAACATGCAATCTGATTGTGGCTTGAGCATTTTTCCCGCTGACAATACGGACAGGCGACCCGAATTTGATACTGCAATCCACCTTTATAGAGATCACGTGACAAAACTTGGAAAGTTGCCTCCACAAACTCACGAACCTGCACCGCCACCTCACTTGTGTCATCTACTGAGATCTGCTGAGGTTGGTTTCTTTGCTTGATAAAAAACTTAATAAACTGCTTCTTACAAATAAGAACAAAATCATGGAAACTTTGCTGTCCAATAACAAACCACGCTCCATTTTGGAACAGGGTAGGGGGCTGTGTTGGACCAGCTTCAGAACACCAACGGACAGATCGAGAAACAAGGCGTGTGAACAGACCATGGGGTACAGAGCCGCTGACAAAGTAAACATACAGGGGACATGGGTCCAGCCTTGAGGGCGCCATGGAACAAAGGGAATCAGGTGACGCTTTGAGATGAGATGGAACAAAATACTTTTCACCTGTCTTTGAAGATGAAAATTTTGCAATCAATCCAAATTGTTCCATCAAATCAAGAATGTCTTTCCTGGCAACACCTTCCAAGAGAAAGTTGGAAAACACAAGATCAACCAGTTCCATGGAGAGAACACCGCTTTCTTTAACTTCCTTCCAGTGCTTGGCAACCTTAGGAACCTAAGACGGAATAAGGTGAAGGACAATAACAAAGCCTTCTTAAAATAGTGATATCTTGGGAGAATTTTGAGCCAGTTAATTAATGCACTTGTGAATTGTAGGTTATTTTATCTAATATTTTAATAAACAAACCAAGAAAAAGATCTAGAGTTTTCCGTTTTTGTGTGAGGACGCATATAAAGAAAAAGTTACGTAGTCTGCCTAGCAAGTACTACTGTGTGAATAAAAGTAAAGAGGATAGCCTTCTAAGCAGCCCTTCCGTTTGGTTCGTCACACAATTCTTTCCAATCACGTTAGAAGATTTACGAAGTTAAGTTTTCTTTTCTTTACAACGTTCACCATAACCTCGCGCTGAGAGAAAACAATAGAAACGTGGTTGTCGTGGTGGAAGGAAACAATGTGAAACAATGAAATGTGGAAAAGGAAAAAGGGATGTGGGAAAGTGGAAAAATGTTCTTCGTGGTAGAAAGGGCTAGTGTGGCTTCGTACTCATGAAAGATTAACGATTTGCGCGCATAGTAAACCGGAACAACTTATTGAACAATGAAAGCGGTATGAAATGTAACTTGCATAACTACGTCACAGGCGAGTTAGCGCTTATTCCTTCGACAACCTGAATCAACCAATGAATACTTTTCCTAGTTCCTACATGTAGTCGTCAACTAATAAAACAGCAAGACCTTCATCTACCAAGAAATAACTGGAAAACCTGTCCAAAGGGTTAAAAATAGCACACGACCTTATCTTAGGGCCTGTGTACATGGAGGTGGGGGACCCCAGGCAGGTGAGGTAACCCGCTTAGATGGGGTAACCCGCCTGTCCACATAATGTCTCATTTTAATTTGACCACGTTTACATGATAGCTGGGGTGACCAGCAGCGGGCTACCTCACCTACCTAGGGTCCTCCACCTGGATGTAAACTGGCTCTAAGATAAGGTCGTGTGCTATTTTTAACCCTTTAAAGAGATTCAACCGCATATTATTCATGAGATAAAGACAAAAGGTTATGACGTCATCAGCGTTTATGTATTCCAGCGAAGATTCCACCGCAAAAAAAGGCTGATTCTATGCCTAATATACTACTGAGGATAGACTACGAGTAGCCCCTTATTTTCCCCTGGGATATTTGAGCGATTAAAATACAGGAGCGTTTGTCACCTTCCTCGAGGATGACAAATTTCACGCGCGCTCGCGTAATTCGCTCGCTCCACTATCCCTGAGGAAGAGACTACTTGTAATCTAGTTAAAGAGGGTTGCGTAACGAGCCAAAAGGAAGTCAGCGTAGGAGACAATATTGCTTGGTACAAGCTAAACTTCTTCGTTTTTTTGTGTAGGTTGAGCAGTGTTATAAATTTTTCGCAATTCGCTTCTCGCGTGCATCAGTTTGGGCGGTGAAAAGTCAGGTTTCCTTTCTACATACAATATGTATTTTCACTCTGTTTGGTTGTCCGATTCCTTTGAGCCTACATAAAAGGTAAATTGCAGGTAAATTGGTTATAAGCTCCTCTTATTGTTAGCGGGTACCTCGTGATGTCACCTGATGTCCTTCGAAATTGAAACAAGAATCCTCTTGGGATATTACAACGTTCAAATAAGAAAGTGCAGTGACAATGTTTCATTGTAATGTTTACTCTTAGTGACGTCAGTATAGCGGGCTGATTACAGGGACGACTGCCCACCAGGTGTTAGCACTAATTCAGTTGTTATAGGTTTGTTATAAGATTTCATTTCAGAATTACGTCGTCTACCCTAACTGTTTTACACTGGGGAAATATTAGGTAGCAGCACAATCCACTACGATTTTGCTGTTTACAAATATTTGAGGAACAGTTAACATTTTCAAAAAGATAGCGGCAATGCACTTGATATAATTATTTATATTAGCTACAGCACGGTTGGAAACCTGTGATGTCATCCAAAATGTGGACCATTATAAACCTTGCAAGTTTTAAAACTCGTTTAAAATCCATTTCTTACCATTTTCGTAAAATCTGGAATAGTTATCAGCTGTCCGAACAATTTTATCAGCCACAGGGTACTCAAGATAACTGTGCTACGGTGCTTGATAATTATCCCCAAGTCATGATAGAAATTCACCATGGTGGTAAACTCTTTCTTATCATGGATAAAGCACTTCTCCTTGGCAAGGGTCCGTAGCTCTGTTATACTCAGGTAATAAACTGGCTTGGAAAGCAAAGCGTTGATACCTTTCTCAAAGTTCAGCCACCTAGTTTACAAAACCAAAGAGAAAATTGATAGCACGCGTTTAAGTATCCATGTCACATATACACAGTATACCTGTACTGACTAAAGTACAGGACCCAGTTGTGTGAAAGGTGGATAACTCTATCCACTGGATAAATACATGGGTATCTGTCCAAAATCCAGTGGAAAGTGCCATAAGGTTTCCTAATATTTTCCAGCTTAATAGTGATTCGTCGTTTGAACAACCGGGGCCAGAAGCATACACACGTTCCAAAACATGACAGTATTGATGGTCTTTCCAAACTTAAAGTGAGATCAATATATCCTTAAATAAGCTTAACTAATACAGCTGGTCATGTTCTAAATGGTCAGCGTGTGCAGTTATGCAGTTAACTACAGATTGAACGGGTGTGTAATCCACTTTACTTTACCTTTTTAAAATCGACAATCAAATGTACGCAATGCTTTTCAGCTAATTCGAAAAAAGATTATAAAACCCTTCAGGGTAGAATATTCCATAAGGCCAGTCAAAACTGCTTTTCACGGTTAACTTGTTTCAATCAACGAGATATTCATTTCTTATGACCGCCAGGTGGCTCATACAGGAATCACTGAATTTTTTCTGTTCTTGCTGTAATTTTTTTAACCAAAGTAAAGGACTACAATGAACCAGCCTTTAGATGTTTTGCGGTCACGCTTTTAAAAGCGTCACAGTCACTGAGTTACTTAAGACATCTGAAACACATTGCACATCAAACAAAAATCTTAAAGGGACTGGCGAAAACAAAGGCCATACACATAAACAGTAATTTCAGTGCGATCACAGCTCAAACCTTCACAACAAAATTATCTAATATTTACTCTAATGGATTCTGTTTTCGTATAACCATTTTTTACCTTATAGGTATCCTCTCCCCAATGTAAGGCTCCTGTCTTAGCACTTCCATAATTTTGATTTGTAAAGCTTGGATCTCATCAATGTTTTCATCTTTCCCGAAAACCATTGTCTTGATCTTTCTTTGAGTTAATTTTGCAGTGTTGTCAATGCTGAAGATAGGCCGCACCACATGTCCTTCATAGTCCTTACCAGCAATTGCGTTCTGGATTTCTGTTTTCATTGTTTCTGGGCGCAAATGAGGCACCTCTTCTTCTACATCATCACAGGTTTTTCTTCTCATCTGCGCGACGCTATGCACTGTGGACAGCCAAGACAACAAGTTCTCAAGATTTGTTTCTCCATTTGGGTTTTCCAAATCAACATTACGAGACCCTTGCCTCATACAGGGCTTGGCTGTGTCATGCAGTGACTTGCTGAGGTTGCACACCAAGATATACAGCGCACGTGATGATAAGAATACGGGATGGGATGCATAATACAGGTGCTGTCCAGCAAAATCCCACAGTTCAATACTGACAACAGATTCTTCAGGCTTAAAATCTTCATCTTGCATTTCCTTTATTAACTGAACTGCTCGCTCCTTGATCTCCTCTGAAGGTGACGTAGTATCAACCAGTAACTCATGATCAGGTCCTGTTAATGTCAGTTCACTAACACTGTCTTTGTTTGGATCGCCAACCTGTAGCAGAGTACGAAAAAAAAAAAACAAACAAAATAACTGTTGATTCTGATTCTAGAAGACTCACCGTACCTGGCTCGATTTTGGGGGTGAAGAGAAATAATGGAGTAAGAAAAAAGGAAATAACGCCATTTTGTGGGGCGGAATAATTGAATAAGTAGGTTTTTTCGACGGAATAATGAGTTCTTTTTTACTGGAATAATTGAATAACGGAAACTTTCCAGCTGGAATAATAAACACCGGATTATTCCTCTTCATCCCCCGATTCGATTATTATTCAGACATTTAAAGTTGTTATTGATGACAGAAAATTCTCTGTAAGTTCAAGCATTGAGCTAATACAATTACCACGATTTGGATATTATTACATATTTTCCATACGGACATCGTAGTAAAGGGCAGGGAAGCCGTGGTGAGTTTCTCACTAAAACCTAACTTATGAAAGCAACAATCAATTCATAATAATTACTGTTGGGAAGTTCTCGAAGTAACGAAGAATTCACGAAAAAATATCACATTTCAAAGACAAAAGACAAACCTGGTTCACAAGAAAAACTTCTTCCTTTTCTCCATCAGTACCAACCTGTTTTCTTTTCTTGTTATCATCGTTTTGAACTATTGCTTCACCTCTTTCCTCCTCCTGAACCGAGTCACGGCTAACTGGAATATGAAACATCTTTTCCACCATCACCTGCGCCACATCTTTCGAACATCCTAGGAACCCTTGTTTTCTCTCATCAATAGGTTGCCAATTCTTGACTTCATCAACGTCCAACTGAAATTTTGAAGGATCCACTTCAATGCACTCGTTTGTGGGCGGTGGGTTTGTTCTGTTTGTGTGGTTGATGGAAAAGAGAGAAGAAAAAAAAAAAATAAGTTAGAAAAAGGATGGTGGGTTGATAGGGGAAGAGGTTGGTCGCGCCGCGGTGGCGCGGTGGGGGGGGGGGGGGGGGGGGGGGGGGGGGTAATTTCCATTAGAGACTTAGTCATACACCAGTGTGAATTGTCCTTCTTGTGATCTTTCAGTATATTAAAACAATTCTATGATAAACATAATTTTACTGAATTTCAAATGTGACAGATATAACTAAATGTTGGTTATTTTTGATACTAAACAAACCAGCTGCTATCTAAAACTTGGTTTTTTAGTGAGCCTACTTTAAGTGTCCATGCACGTGATGCGTAAAAATTAGTGTTATGTTTTGCGTCATGAGATTTATAAGTGCTGTTTGCATTCATGTAAAATGCCTGTCCCTTAGAAAAAAAAAAAAACAATTATTCTGAACATCAGCGAACTAACTTCATTCCATATATTAAAATGAAACAGGTAATAAAACTAGTTACACTCAAATGGAACAAACAAAGGTATACTTAATTTATATAACAGAAAGAGTGTCAGAGGTAAAGGAAATGAGGAGTCTAACTTTTGGTCGAGGTGTCGAGGGTCTTATGTGGAGGGTCGAGGGTATTTAGTCGAGGGTCGATTATTTCGTGTCGAGAGTCATTTTTTCAAGTCACTTTTATTTTTCATACAGATTAGCAATCTACAAATAAAAATAAAAAAACCGCGCTTTGGACAGACAAGAGACCTTTATCTTTATCTACAGCCCCGACTAGCTCGTCATGCAACGCATGTTCCGATCAGGTTGCTTTTCAATTTTTATTAAGCGGCCTAGCACGATTTTTTTTAAAAAAGTTTACTTTGGTTATTACCAACCACTGTAAATTAAAAGACAAAATCACGAATCACGGACTTTCAGTTCCGGCTCTTTAACATTATGTCACCAGCAATTATGATCTCAGCGTTCGGATTGCAGCAAGGATCTGACATATATTCAAGGAGATCAACACGGTCAAATACAGGATCAGGGGGGAGATAACTACTCGCCACATGATATTCTGATTTTGGTGTTGTTATTTTGCACCATACAGATTCAAATTCCAAGCTATCAGTGATATTCAACGCTTTAACGCCAACATATCATAGCACCACCACCACCGGTTTGCGAGCCAGGTGATCTTTCCTGACTATAACATAGCCCTCTGGGCAAATCCAATGTGACAGGATTATCTTACTTAACCATGACTCCGAAACAAACACATACCCTATTTCCTCGAATAATAGCCGTCCCTTTATTAATCGCCTAGTATTTGTGATGCTGTTCTAAATATCAAACATGGGGGTTCTGGGACTAAGACAGCCTTCACCTTCGCACAAGTTTTACATAGACTGAGTACTATTCCGTCTGGGTCATGAAGTTGTTTTACTCACGAAGTATCCAGTGTTTTTACGATTAGCTTTTGCACTCAATTCCAGTAAAAGTACAAGCACGCTTGTTTAAATTCAAGGCCCAACATCTTGTAGACTCACTTGCAAGAGGGCTCGGCTCGCAACAGCCATAAGTAGCAGCATTTACTAGTTTTCCCACCCTACCCTATCTGGGTAGTTTTTGGTTGTACTCATTTCCGAGTCCAACTTTTGGTCGAGGTGTCGAGGGTCGAGGGTCGAGGGTAACATGTTGGGGGTCGAGGGTGCTATGTCGAGGGTCCACTTTTTATTTTTTTTCTATATTTTTAAATTTTTCTTTCGCGTTTTTTTAGAGGGTGAGGAGAGCCAGACACGCAAGAGCTTAGTTTTCATTAGCGTTGACTCAGAATGTTGACAGATGCATTGTAATAACGGTACTTCCAAAAGAAAAGAGTCCAACCTTTCGTGGAGGTATTTAGAGAAAATACACTCTGAAAATAATAAACGCGTTTCGGATAGTCTGGTTTAACCACAGCCCCGAGAAGCTCGTCACGCAACGCTTTTTTCCGAAAGATTTTACCTTGAACGATTTTTGTTTTCTCCTTTTTTTTTTTAATTGGGGCGGGGGTGGAGGGAATTTCACTCCCTCACCCAACTTCTAATTGTCCACCCCTAATCACGATATTACTAGTGTTTATTGTGCTTTAGTAGGACTTGTTATTAGCTAGAACAATAAGCATACTCTAAACACCAAAAATAAATCCCTTGAAAATCCCGAAACGTTTCCGCGCAGTTTAAAATACATACACGAGATAAAATTAATAATATTTCTCTACCCCAACAACCAAATGCGCGAACAGCGGACGTGACGTCCAAGATCGCAGAGATACTATGGGCCAATCATTTCCAGGTTGCTCTTATTTTAACAAAATTTGCATTGTTTTTCGTGAAAAACTGCATCACTGCAACACCCTGTCTTACGAAATGCGCTGCCTCGTGGTCTCCTAGCATCATCATAAACTGTTTGGCTTTTTCTTTGTCGTGATTCGTGAAAAAAAAGAAAGAATATTTTTCGTGCTTTCTGCGTAACGCAAGCGTCACGACACGTCCTGAAAAAGCTCAACCACGGTTGACGTAAATTTACCTCTTTTTTTCGCATTATTTGTGTGCATGTAATGCAAGGTTTTTTCATAAGATTTCCTTGCTTTTTTTTTTTTTTGGAATCGAAAGTCCGTGATTCGTGGTTGGGGGAGGAAGTGGAAATGCCCCGAAAAAATTCATACAGGTTGGTATAATATATTTTGCGCAACTTTCGTGACCGAAAATAAAAACTCTTGCGAAATAAAAAAATACAAATTCTACCTGCATTTTTCAGGCAACCTGATTAAAATCCTTGAAACATGCGTTGCGTGACCAGCTAGTCCCCCAGTCTAGTAGGGGCTTTGGATATAATAAAGCGCGTTAAGTCATTCGTCTATCAGGAAGCGCGTTTATTTTTAGTGTATTTTTGTTAAAACTTGACCAAACTTGACTTTTCTAAAAAACTGAACTCGGGGATGTTTGACGCTCCTCGCTCACTTTGCGCTTTAGTATCTGTTTTTCTTAAAATTAATTTTACTTTTTTATGTTTCAGTGCTTATTCCCATAATTACGAATTTATAATAGCTGTTTTTCACAGCTGATTTGATATTTTAAAACAGAGGAATTAATTAAAATAAATTATTATTCATTCAAAATATTTCCCCGATTCTGATTGGCTAAAAGCACACGCATAATTCACCATAACCAGTTACTGATGACCAAATTTGGAAGTTTTGTGTTTAACGAGGAAATGACGTCAAAAATGCAGCGTTTTTGCAGGTTAATGCACCGTTAACCGAGAAGACCTGGGAACGAGGTTGAGTTGTTTTGGTTGCGGCAACAAAAATGGCGGACATTTCTCTCGTTTCAAGAGTAAGAACTAGGCGAGAAAATAGCTAAAAACATGGTAAGAACAGCAAGAAGACAACTCGAAGGGCGACATCTGCTATTTGGAGAATATTTGCGGAGCTGAACAACCCTAAACGTGCACTATCGAAGATGAACTTCACATCGATGGATCGATGGAGGTAAGCATGTTTAAGCTATGTTTTTAAACTAGGAATTATTTTGAATGAATAATAAAACAGGATTATGGAGATCTAGGAGGGTGTTATCCGCCTCGGCCTACGGCCTCGACGGATAACCCCCTCCTCGATCTCCATAATTCTTCATATACCCAGCCTCATTCATTAATTCTTAATTAATGCGTACAAGAAACTTACCATTAATATTAAAGCTACAGTTGTAGCATATCCTGATTTCTCAAACACTCAAATTCGCGAAACTCCTGATAACTGAAAACAAAACTGACTTCCCTTCCCCAGGCAAATACCAGAATTCATCTCGGTTTTTTTGAACTTCCAAATAACTAACACATCCGCTATGCTCACCTGCAACACCAACTAAAAAGACTCCTTTCTTCTTCAACTTCAGGGTACATCTTATTCCGTCAACAGTTAAAGGATTATGAATCACACTCAAAAACCTCAGCTCCCTGAGGGCACCAATCTCAGCAGGTAGTTCAGTTAGTTTATTTCCAGTCAACTCCAGCTCTTCAAGCTTGGTCAGCCTGTGTATACTGGCAGGTAAATCAATCAAATGGTTGTCTCTCACACTCAGCGTCCTCAGCTCCCTAAGGTCACCAATCTCAGCAGGTAGTTCAGTTAGTTTATTTTCAAACAAGTACAGCCTTTCAAGCTTGGTCAGCCTCTGTACACTGGTAGGTAAACCAACCAACTGATTGTTCCTAACATTCAGCAACCTCAGCTCCCTGAGGTCACCGATCTCAGCAAGTAGTTCAGTTAGTTTATTCTTGTCCAAGTACAGCCTCTCAAGCTTGGTCAGCCTGTGTATACTGGTAGGTAAACCAACCAACTGGTTGTCTCTCAAGAACAGCACCCTCAGCTCCCTGAGGTCACCAATCTCAGCAGGTAGTTCAGTTAGTTTATTTTCATCCAAGTTCAGCTCGTCAAGCTTGGTCAGCCTCTGTATACTGGTAGGTAAACCAACCAATTGGTTTTTCCTCACATTCAGCGCCCTCAGCTCCCTGAGGTCACCGATCTCAGCAGGTAGTTCAGTTAGTTTATTTTTGTCCAAGTATAGCTTCTCAAGCTTGGTCAGCCTGTTTATACTGGTAGGTAAACCAACCAACTGGTTGTCTCTCAAGAACAGCACCCTCAGCTCCATGAGGTCACCAATCTCAGCAGGTAGTTCAGTTAGTTTATTTTCATCCAAGTTCAGTTCGTCAAGCTTGGTCAACCTCTGTATACTGGTAGGTAAACCAGCCAACTGGTTCTTCCTTACATTCAGCTCCCTCAGCTCCTTCAGGTCACCGATCTCAGCAGGTA